CATATGACAATAAACATCTTGAACCTTATCAGATGTTTTAAAATAATGTGGTACTACTTTGCAAGAAGCCATCCTTATAAAGGGTTTACAAGTTGGTATACTATAATGCTTTAAAAATAATTTATAAATTATTATTAATATATAACATTTATTTAACTAAGTCACATTGAGATTAAAATATATTTGTGAGACCCAACCAACACACATAACAGGAACAACATCAGATCACAACAGCAACAATGGCAACAGGACTGTAACTAATGCTTATTTTCATCATCAATTAATCTTCGGATTTTTTCTTTTCCAGATAAAAATATTTAGTCATTTAAAATAAGTAAAACAATTGTAATAAACGTCCTTTTTAATTTCTCAGGGCCCAAAGTTACATCTCCAAAATCCTTGTTTTGACCAACCAACTAACTCTGAGGCTGAGAGAGATATTCAACTGATATGTCATACATTTCAAATAGGTTATATCAGTTATTTAATATATACTGACAGGTGTTTCTACTTTGTCCGTCTCATTTATATCAAGGAGCGTAGGTTAAATAAGAGAAACACCTATCTGTATAAAGCAGTACAATTAAACAGCACCACAGACTGCAGCCTCCACACCCTAGAACAAACATTGCGCAAGTGTCAATATCTCTAAACAAGCACATAGCCTATCTCCCAGAATTAGAGGATTGCAGCATCATGACCTATTTTTGAGTTGGTCTATTGACACTGAATTCATGTTAGATACAATATATTCTATCTACATGGGTTGCAAATAAATACTGATATACAAATATTGATATTGCTCAGCCCCCAGTCGGAGAAGAACAGAGCAGAAATAGGATTTGGAAAACGAAGATGGTGGACGTATATAGCATGTAGCAAACATGAATAATAAACAGTTGAATAACGAGCACAAAACATAGAACAAACACACAAAAAACAGCGAATACAACCTGGATGTGCCTTGCTTTAGGAATGAAATAAGAGAGTAACTGACAGGTGCCCCTCCACCTGGACTCAGACATGAATAACAAGTGCACACAGACCGGAAAAACAGGACAAACCAGAGTTTCAGTGCCTCCAAACCAGATCAATACTGATTCTGTTTGGAATCTGATGTATGCACATTTTCCAGGAAAAGTGTGATAAAACTGTCATTTTCTTTTAAGGGAGGAAAGCCTCGGATATAACAGTGTCCATGTTTTTAAAACTTGTTCAGCAGAATTACAGTAAGTGTTGTGCACCCTCCACTGGCCTAATATTGAATCACTACAGGAGATTTCTCTCTTGTATCTCTCCAACTGACTCTGCTTACTTCCTCGAGGTTTGAGGAGGTTTAAACCCAATAATTAATGAGAGTCCTGCATCAAATGTCACACTTTATTTACCGCTGCAGCCAATCTCACATTGGCAACAGAGCAAACAGGCCCTTTATTATTCTAGGATTGGGGGACGGTCA